GTACTGACCGCCGGACCACGGTAACCGTACTGACATCGCCGGACCACTGTACCGTACTGACCGCCCGACAACTCCTGCCCGCCGGCCCGCTCTAGGGTGGGAGGAAACCTCTGCCGGGGAGAGGAAGGGTCACCAGTACCCGGACCAGTACCCCCCCGTGAGCAGAGACAGCTTCGCTCCTCGCTCAGACAGACAGGCAGACAGGCAGGCAGACAGGCAGGCAGACAGGCAGGCAGACAGACAGGCAGACAGGTAGGCAGGCAGACAGGCAGGCAGGCAGGCAGGCAGACAGGCAGGCAGGCAGGCAGGCAGACAGGCAGGCAGGCAGGCAGGCAGACAGGCAGACAGGCAGGCAGACAGACCAGAGGTCCAGCTCTCCTGCTTTCCGCAGTGTTTGTCCACGAACCCCTGTGCCCCTGCAGCACTGAGAAGCCACACAACAGTGTGTGTTTGACAGAGTCATCGTCACCCTGGTCTGCACATCGTTAACCGATAACAGGCGAAACACCGAGAGCTGTTCGGAGAGATGCAGGAGAGCCCAAGCTGAAACAGAGTCGTGCTCTTAATATTTCTTGGAAGTGGCACACGTAGTGTAAGGGAGGTTCTTGGTGAGTCCAGAGACAGGAATAATCAGTTGTTAGAATTAAGTTCTCCATGAACATCTGTCATTAAGAGCAGAGTGGGAATGAAAACCAGACACTGGAGTACTCCAGGAGCTGGACTGGGAAACGCAGTTAGTGCGCTGACTGACACTCGGAGTACTACAGTCCAAACGCCTGGCCGATGTCCCCTATTGACACAGCCAGGAGAGCCCTTCGCAGGACAGCAGCCACTGACTGGCTAACTGTGTGGTTTCCTCTTGCTGAAGACATGGAGAACGTGCCCTGGTTTCCCAAGAAAATCTCGGACCTGGATAAGTGTGCCAACAGGGTGCTGATGTACGGCTCCGATCTAGACGCCGACCACCCGGTGAGTAGCGGAGTGCCCAGCCCGGCCCGCCCAGCCCGGCCCGCTCAGGGAATCGGTCCGGGTCGTGGCTCTGCATCGTGCAGAGTTTTCTCTCTTTTATATCGACGGAGAGAGAGAACGCTTCTATACAGTATATCTGCTTGGGGAAAAGTCAGATCTCAGCAGGCACATGAAGATCAGTCTTGGTTTGAGGCGGGGCAGAGGGAGGCAGAGGGGGAGCAGAGGGAGGCAGAGGGGGAGCAGAGGG